GCCTCTCCCGGCCTCCTCCGAGCCTTGCTGATGATCGTTGGCAGAGGTAGTTCGGCATGAATAGAGTGAGCAGAGCTCGTGTCACAGCAGCAGCTGCGCTGAATGTGATAAGTGCAAGGGACACTGCAGCTTGCGGAGAGATGTCTTTCTTTGCCAGGGCTGTTTGCGGCGGGCAGATAAGCTTCCTGGAAGCTGAAGCTCTCTGGAGAACGTGCAGAGGGCTCAAGCCTGAGTGTAAGGTCTGTTCAGCGCTTGGCCCGTGGTGTCGTTGGTGGCACTGTGCTATGTTTGTAATGTAAACAGCTGGGGTGGACACAGCTTCAGAAAGGATCCGCACAGCTATCGCTGCTGATCAAATTAATCCCTAGAGGGCCGCTGGTAAGCAACCCAGCCCCTTCAACACAGGGATGCTCCATTCCAGGGAAAGAACAAAAAGTTAAAGCTTCCCATCAAACCTTTATTTTGTCTCCTTGGTAGTTGCTGGTTTTCCACGCGGTAAAGTTAACTTGATTCAAATACCTTCAAAATAGCAGCACCGCACGTCATCCGTGTATTTTAGAGGGGGGGAGGATCGGGGCTCAGGCTGCAGCCTCTGTTTTTCGTGGGCAGCGCTTGGATAGGTAAGGCTCCCGGGATGTAAGAGCAGGGCTGGCAGATTGGCTTTCTCAGGGTCTGGTTAGGCAGCCTGTGTTTGTACAGACGATGGGTCACGGCTGCGTTTCATTCTCAGGAATGAAATGTATGTAATTGCGCAAACTCATTTAAGGAAAAAGCTGACATGGTTAGCTGGGCTCTGGAAAGCAGTCAGCATTTCCCTGACCTGTTCTTCCATAGCTAAAGAAGAACAGGCTTAAGCAAGCACTCACCAAAGGTGTGTTGCATAATTAGTGAGATGTAATTTATCTAATTTATTCTTCTGTAAGAGCTGAAATACATCAGACATCGGCTGTCCGTCTGTACACAGGCACAATGTGAAATGTGCTGGTTTGACTGACTTAATTTTAACCAAAAATAAGTCCTAGAGCAGTTGAAGAATGCTTTATTTTTTTCCTTAGACTCTAACAAAGTGAATTATGGGGCTGTCTGCGTGAGTGGGGCTCTTGCCTTGCTGCTGTCTGACAGCCCAGTAGGTATGAATGCAAATTCAGATCTCCTTCACCGTCCCGCTTTGAATCGCCATATGGAAAAAGAGACGTTGGTTCCACCCCGCTTCAGAGTCATGGAAATGAGCTGTTATGAAATGGGGAAAAGGAACTGTATCCTGGCAATTTCTGAATGAGCAGCTTGAGAATTGACGTAATTGCAAGGCGCCGGAGAAAGCCGACAGAAAGGAGGAGTCAAGTTAGAAAATGAGTGAAAACAAGAATGTGTTTAGGAAAGCTCCTTCCTTTCCTTTTTGGCCAGATGATGTTTTGCCATTGCCAGGTGCAACTTCCTTCAAAGAAGATAACTAATTTATGGCGGAAAGACCCAGTAAAATAATTGATTTCCAGTAATGCGCAGTCATCTTATAAAATAATCTCTGGCTCTCCAGTGTGGCAGATAATCTAATAAACAGAACGTGGAAGTTTCATCACGTGGAAGTAAATATGAAAGATAGCTTTGTCTGCACATGGCATACATGAAAGAAGCAGAGATAACAGGGCTGAAACTAGTTCAGAGACCAGCTTAATATCATGCCTTTTCTCTTGATATCTCCCCTGAACTGGGAAATCAACATATCCTGCTCGTGATAGTTTGTATTTTGCCCCTGTGGTGCAAACAGCCTGGCTTTCCTGTGTTCAGGTGATGGAAGCAAGGACATCCCTGAGGACACCGTGGCTGCTTTGGACTGTTACCTGTGTCTGGAGACATTCTCCCCAAATCTGTCAGTATCTGCTAAAAAAAGATCTTCTCCTTAGAGGTTCTGATGTTTTGAAGGGACAACGCCATCTCTTCTCCTCTGCACTGGTTGCTGCTCTTCCCAGCAGCTGAACCGGAGGCAGGGGAAAACCTGGGAGATCCCATCCAGCCACCAGCAGCAGCAGGAGGAGGAATCTGGGACCAGCTGGTAGCAGGATGGGAGGGACTCTCCTCAGTCCCATCAATGTGCTCGGATCCTCGGCCAGGACTGGCAGTCCATTCAGCTGTCTGAGCTGGGGGCATCCGTGCTGCCTTTCCCTGGCCTTGAAGCCCGCAGACAGCAGGGATTGTGCCCATCCCGGTACCCAGCTGGGCGCTGGGGCTGCAGCTCCCATCACTGCTGGTGTGGGACCACTAAAATGCTGGTTCCCCTCACCCTCTGTCTGCCTGCCTGGTGGTGGGACTCGTCTGGTCCGGGGAGGTGGCACAGGTACTTCACCAGCACCCCTCATGGCTTGGCTGGAGTCAGAAATGTTTAGATTTAATTCGATTTACAGACTTTTTCTTGCCTCTGCCATGAGTCACATCCTATACAGGGACCTCTCGCTGTCCTTTCTATGTAAAAGGCAAAAAAAATTGGAATTAGCTGAGCAGGGCGTTGGGAAACACCACGGGAGAGGAGGTATTTCCTATTGTAGACTTTTATGTGGCACTTGCAGCATGGCAGTGCTTAAAAAGAGCACACGAGCCTGTGCCCTTTGGCACCCATCCATACCTACTTGTTGGGAAGATCTTAATGCTGGAAGCGGTGCTTGGTGTGTGCAGCCAGAGGACTGACTGCTCGCAGGGGCCTTCATTTTTCAAGTCATTTGGCGATGTGTGCCTGGATCCTGGGTCCGTGTATTTGAAATGGGAAGGTTTTGGTTTTTTTTTTTTTTTTCCTGGAGGCCCCTAGGCAGTGTTTGAAGGGAGTTTGGTGCTGCTGGTCCCTCGCTGCTGCAGTCTGCGGGAGAATCTAGCTTTTCAGAGCATTTGGGACTTTTGTTTTGCTAAAAAAAAAACAACCCTCCAAGCATCGGGAAGAAAAGATCTTTGTCTTTCAACTGTGAGCAAAGAAAGCTCGTAGTATATGTCCGAGAGCCACCAGAAATCCCCTAGCAACCAGGCTTAATGATCCTGATATTTCGTTGCAGGATCATAGGAAATCAGAAACTCGTACAAAAGCGCTGCTGTTATTTAAAGTACGAAGTTGCTGCTGGAGGCTTCTTTATAAAGAGGCCAGAATGGGCAAACTCCATTCCTCTTGATATTTATAGCTTGCCTTTTAGCATGTGCACGCATAGTCCTTGTGCTTTGAAACAGCTGAGACTGACTGAAAACTGGGTCCCCGAGGTCAGGGTCTGAAACAGAGACTGAGGAGATTTAACTTGAGGCTACCACGTTTGGAAAGCTGCAGCCTGAGCCAACAAACGGGGAAGTTTTTGTAGAAATGCGGAGGAACTTTCCACCCCGTGCTCCCTTCCCTGCTGGCAAGGAGATTTCACATGGCTGTAGGTGAGCTGACTGGCGTGATTAATTACTTTCAGCATCTCTTTCCTGTGCTGGGAAGTTTGGAGATAACGAAAGGAAAATTACTGGAGCTGGCCTGCTCTTTGCCAACCCCGGGGCTGCAGTGTCTGTGGATGGCAGGTCTGAAAAGGCCTCTGTCTCCCGTGTTGTGGCAGGTCCACCGAGCAGCCCAAACGGACCACGAGGCCAGTAAAAGCTGTGGTCACCTCAGCTGCGTCGGCCTGGAGGGTCACGCCGGTGGTAGGTATCTGCCTGCTGTCCTGCCATTGCCGAGCAGATGCAGCCACCCAACGATGGGTCCCTGCCCGGCCCCTCCAAAGGCTCCTCTGCAGCATCATCCTTGTCACCTCTGCCCGGTCCTGGCGGGGAGGTGGGACCCTCGTGTAAGGCCGTACGAACGCCACACAGCCTGGGCAGCGCTCGCCTCTGTGCCGGGGAGCGGCTCCGCGGGGAACCTTGCCATTTCGAAGCGGGAAAGTGAGCAGTGCGTGTGCTTTGCATATGCTTTCCACTTGGGAGTGAAGAAGTGTCTTTTGTCAGGCTAGGCATGTGTCTTGGTGGCCTGGTTCCTGCTGGGGCTGTCTCGGGGGAGGCTGTCGACGAGGTCGGTGGCAGAAGCAGCAGATGACGCTTTGAGCAGACTGCAGATGGAGCGGGGCTCTGCAGTTGCTACAGAAACAGCAGTCGCACAGGATGCACAAAGGCAGTGTCCTCTGGTAGAGACACGAGGTACAGACATCTCAGCTTGAATGCTGCATCCATTTTGGAGACACCCTTCAGGAAAGACCTGGTGGGGAGCGTCCGGAGGAGAGCGGTCAGATGCCTGGACGATGTGGTAGCAAGGGATGATTGGGGGGCTTGGACTTCTCTTTTCTAACAGAGAAAAAGCTAAGGGAGGTGTTATGGCAGTCTTTGTGTATGTAAGAAGTTGTCACAGGCAAGAAGAGAGTGATCTGTTCTCCACGTCAGCTCTTGTAGGACAAAAAGAAATGGGTGTGTTTTGTCAAGGGAGATTCCAGCAGGGAATCTTACCACAGTCAGACAGGCCTTCCACCCTTATAACAACCTCTTCCACAAGGATATAAATATGTAAAGGGCAAGGAGGATGGAGCCGGGCTCTTCTCAGTGATGGCCAATGACAGGACAAGGGGCAACGGGTGCAAGCTGGAGCACAGGAGGTTCCACATGAACATAAGGAAAAACTTTTTCCCTGTGAGGGTGACAGAGCCCTGGAACAGGCTGCCCAGAGAGGTGGTGGAGTCTTCTCTGGAGACATTCAAAACCCGCCTGGACGCGTTCCTGTGTGACCTACTCTAGGGGGTCCTGCCCTGGCAGGGAGGTTGGACTGGATGGTCTTTCAGGGTCCCTTCCAACCCCTGACATGCTGTGATTCTGTGACAGGTGGCCCCAAAGTGGCATGGAGTCTCCATCGAGATGTCTGAGGACAGTTTCAACAGGCATCTGCTGGGAACGATGCTGTTTTGGGATGGATCTTTGGGCTGTTACCACCCTGTCCAGCCCTGCTGCCTGTGATTCTGCACTTTGCAGAAGAAGGAACCTAACAGCTCTTGTTTTACTTGTTTATGCAGGTAGCTTTGCAGAGAAGACTTACGAGTGGAGCTCAGAGGAGGAGGAGTCCGTGAGGAAGGCAGGGCCAGTGCAAGTCCTCATTGTCAAAGATGACCATTCCTTTGAACTGGATGAAGCTGCGCTGACCCGCATCCTCCTCTCAGAGGCTGTCAGAGATAAAGAGGTCGTGGCTGTGTCCGTTGCTGGAGCTTTTAGAAAAGGAAAATCTTTCCTGATGGACTTCATGCTGCGGTACATGTACAATAAGGTACGGCTCCAGCTCAGCTGGCTCTTCCCAGGGTTATGGTGCTGCTGTCCATGTCTCCCATGTTCTACCCAGGGATGAGCTGGACAGGACACCGGCTTGGGGGTCTAGGAATGCCCAAGCTTCTCATTAGCATGGGCTTCACAAAATGAAATAGAGCAGATCCTTTCCCAGCCCTGTGCGCCATGTGAGTGTCTAGTGGACTCTTGACTTTGGAGCAGAGATGTTCCCATTTGCTGCCCTGTAGGAAACCTCTCTGATAGGGGCTACCCCCTGCCAGCACTGGGGTGGAGGCAGCGCAGAGGAAAAACGTAAAACCAAAGTTGAGATGCGAGAACTCCAGCAACTTCTTCTGTTCCTGCCTGCAGGAAGCAGTGGACTGGGTTGGAGATTACAACGAGCCTCTGACTGGCTTCTCCTGGAGGGGAGGGTCTGAACGGGAGACAACCGGCATCCAGATATGGAGCGAGGTTTTCCTGGTGGACAAGCCTGATGGTAAAAAGGTGTGTGCTTCTCTGTTGCACAGCTGTCTGTTGCTGGTCAGCTCACTTTTCTCTTCCAGCTTTTGTAAGACTCTCCTGCCTTGTCGTAGGTGGCTCAAGAAGAGCCTTAGAGAAGGTCTTCAGTTCCATATCCCTAAATTAGCATGAATGGGTTTAATGCAATGAGTTGATATGATATCTAGGTATCCCTAATGTGCTCTCTAGGTGTCCCTCTAACTCTGGGCAGCCCAGAATTTATTTATCTGCTGCTCTCAGGGATCCTGAGTCTGAGGTCCTTGCAAACTACTCCCCTTTCCTAGGGCAGTAGCTGTAAAACGGAGTGTCTTCACGCAGGGTAGTCAAATACAACTCAAACTGGATTTTGGGGCAAATTCAGCTTACAGGCAGGAATATTTGTATTCATCTACTCTTTGTTAAAGAGCCCAATGCCAAAGTGACGCTGAACTATTCACGGTGTGATTCCTAATACTGCCTGAGTGTGTTTTGCGTTAAGGAGGTGCAATATGCTGCCGTGTTTGGCTTCTGTGACGTGAAGCCAATGCAGACTCAGGAAAAGACCCATCTGCACTGACAGCAAGTATTTGAGGAGCAAAGCACTTCCCTTCTCTGCCTTGCATAGCATCCCTTTCGCTGCCTGCTGGAGTCATCAAGCTGTCAAGAGTGACTGGGGCTGCTCTTTTCCTTTGTCCTCCACCAGTGCTAGGTCTGAGGCAGGAGCAGTGAGATTCCCAGCACAACTGCAGCTGACATTCACCCCCCCACACACACCCCCTTTGGCATTTGGGAGTGATTTTGCTTGGATGCAGATGCTGAACGGGTGCATCCAAGCTGACGTGGAGCCTTCTGCCTCTCAGGTCGCAGTGTTGCTGATGGACACGCAGGGGACCTTTGACAGCCAGTCCACCCTGCGGGATTCAGCCACCGTGTTTGCCCTTAGCACAATGATCAGCTCGATACAGGTAAGAAGGGGGATGTCTCCAGGAATCGCTTCCTAAAAGGCAGTGCCAAAAAAATAGTAGCTTGGCACCAGGCTAACACGGCAGCTTCGCCAGAGCCTTTGGTGGGAGAGACACTGAGTGCAGGATTCACCCAAGGTCACTCCGTCATCCCAGGGTACAGCCTCCTCTCCTCATCTCACCCCAAGAGCAGGGGCAGCAGCAGATACACCCCTTTGCTTCCAGCTACCAGAGAAGAAAGGACCTTGATCTGGGGAACCGGGTGTGCTTTTGTCTCGCTGCTGCTGGAGAAACCTCTGGGCTGGAGGTGTTTGCACACCAACCACCACGTAGCCTGTTAGGGCTTCCCTTCCCACCATCCAGCCTTTGCTCATGGGGGACGGTTTGAAGGGGATGGAAGCTGTGTCTCGGTGCAGAGCTCAGCGCCTCATCAAAATGGGGAAGGAGGAACATGATTTGGACCTGACAGGCTTCAGGGCCAGGGCATGACAGCCCCTGGGGCTCCCATGCTGGAGTGTTCTGCTGCGCAGGGAGCAGCAGTGCCTGTCTGTCTGACAGTGTGAGTCTGTCTAGTAGTACAGCTGCGCTTGGGGCCTGTCTTGTGCTGGCACCACGGGCCAGCTGGGACTTTGGCTGTGTCCCCATGGCAATGTCGTAGGCTTTAACCACACAGACCCACACGTTGTCCGAAGGACAGGCCATTCTGAGTGCTCTGAAGTTCTTGTTTTTAAATGCAGGTTTACAACTTGTCCCAGAACGTGCAGGAGGATGATCTGCAGCACTTGCAGGTAAGACCCTTGGCCCCAATGCTCTGCATCACTGGGGTGCCTGGACTGCTCCACACTTGCAAGCTGCGTTGCTCTGGAAAAGTGCTTTTGCATTCGTAGCCACAAAGTGTTTTTCATTTTCCCAGCTTTCATTTTGAATCTTGGGCAGGGAGGAACTGTCGCTTGGGTTGAAACCTGTCTTCCCTGCGCTCTCATAGTGTGGCTCCTGGGGGCTGGGTCCTTTGGCAGAGCAGTCAGCGGGACACTTGCCAGGGGGCACTGTTCCTGTCTCTGGAGCACGTGTCTTCCTCGAGGCTGGTTGCCTATGGAGCTGGAAAGGGCCCACGGCTGTGCTTTGTGCTGCGGCGGGTGGCTGGAGGGCACAGAGAGGCTGAAAGGTTGAGCCAGGAGACAGAAGTGACTGAGAGGGGAGGTAGTGACGGTCTTCAGCGGTGTACAAGGCTGCTGCAGAGTGGGGAGCGTTATCTTTTCGTGTGCCCGCAGTGCACGGGACCAGTGGTCATGGCTGGTGCTGCAGGCAGAGAGGGTTGAGTTGACTTTCTAAGGGTGAGGTTCGAGGAGCATCCAACAGACTGTGTAGTTGTCCCATTACGGACCGTGTTGGTGTGAGGCACCCATCCCAGGTCTGCCCAACAGTCTGGATACAGCTCACGCTGGCCTGTATGTCCTTCCATGGGGTTATACTGGGGTTCCTTGAGGGGCAGAGACCCATCAGAGGCCAGGACTGACCCATGGGGCTGGAAACACGCAGTGGCTTGCAGCAAGGGGCTAAAGAGGTGGCAGTACAGAGGGACCCAGGGCAGTTAACCAGGTATTGGCTGTACTCCTGCTGCTGGGAGCGTCCGTCCGCTGCTCCAGGAGTAGGGGCAGTAGAAGTGCTTGTTTGACTGCAGTGATGGGGAAGCTGAAGGCAGAAGTTTTACTGTTCACACGGTAGGACAGGATCTCTGCATTGTTAGGAGAAGCCTAAAGAAATTGGGAACTGGTTTCTAAGCCTGGATAGTGACATCTGGTACTGGTTCAACCCAGATGACCCCTAAGAGTAATTACTGTTGGGAGACAAGCAGCTAATGGGATTTTTGTGGCACAGGTGTCCTGCCCATTTCCTGGTGTTACCTCTAGCTTTCTCTTCTGTTTAGGTGATGGATTGATTGATTGATTGGTTAGGTAGGTTTCTCCAGGAGCTTGAGAAAAAGGAAAGAAAAGCAGAAGTCCAGCTGGAAATCCCAGCGTTCAAAGACTTCCGTATCATTTCAGTCAGTAAAAAATTATAACAATGATGCCTTTTTGACATTGAACTTACCCAGTGCAACTCTGATCTTTCACTTTGGATTTTAAGCTGTTATTGTTTAACATGTTGACCCATTTCTAGGCATCTGTGAAATACATTATTGTGCCTTCAGTTAGAAATTACAGTCCAGAGAGACTGGAGAGCCTTCAAATGTTGCCGTTAGGCTGATCTTACAGCCTTTGCACAGTGGGGGTTTGCAGGGAAAGTACTTATTTCTGAATTCATTTCCGCTTCTTTCTGGAGTGTTTAGAGAGAGCGGGGCTCCAGCAGTCCCCTGTAGCACATGAAGTTTCTAGTTGATATGAAAGCAACAGCAAGCAGCTGATTTGAGCCATTTTTCACAGCTTTAGCAGCCAAAAATTCTAGGCTGCGATCTTTCACGTGAGGGCTCAGGGTGGCGATTGTCCACAACAGCTCCCTGTGCCCCTCAGATGTGAACCAACACCACACAGCCAGCCAGTTTGTATTCCAGCTCTGCAAATGGTGCTGTCAGCCCCGAGTCAACAACCCTCCCTTGCTGCCTGTGTGGCCCACAGCCCTCTGCCTGGCCGTGCGGACTGATGAGCTGACAGTCCTCTTGTTCTCTGCTTCCCTTTCCAGCTTTTCACCGAGTACGGCCGGCTGGCCATGGAGGAGACATTCCTGAAACCTTTCCAGGTGAGTCCGAGGGTCCTGGCCAGCACATGTCCCTTGGCCCCGAGCCGGTTGCCTTCACCACGAGGTGTCACTGCAGTTTGCAGGACGGGAGGCGATGGCGATGCCTGGGGACAGGCTCAGCTGCATGAAGGAAAGGCTTTGTGCTTCCTTACCCCTCCCCAAGAGGCTTCCAGATACAACTAACATCTCTCTTTCTTTTCTCTCTGAACCTCTGCCATCCTGAGAGCTCTGCCCTGCCCTGCCAGATGTCCTGCTGGGCTTGGAAAGCAGTCAGGTTTGGCAGCAGGTTTGTCACCCTGGCTGCCCAGGGACTCTGCCCAGCCTTTGCTCTGAGAGGTTTGAACCCGCCTGCCCTGGGAATCCCTGCTCCTGGCGAAATGAAAGGACAGGGATTAGCTCAGAGCTCTTGCGAGTGACAACAGAGCTGGGGGAAGGCTCGGTTTAAGTGGGATTTTAACTTCAAATAGGTGACATCTGTTCACCCTGCTGCTTCCCAACCTGTGAAAAGCTGGCGTGCAAAAAAAAAAGGGAGAGTGTCGAGCAGATGCCGGCTTGCTCTGGACACCAGAGGGTAGGAGGATAGTTGGCCGTGACAGCCCCTTCCAGGAGGAGAGGGAATATGAGTGAAAAGAGAGAAAGCAGAAGGTAGGAGGGCAGAAGGTACCCATGGCACGGCTATGGCAGCTCACCAAAGCTCCAGTGACTCCAGATCGAGTCGTGATTTTGTATGGCTTTGATTACAGCTTCACCATATCCTCTGCACCCGGGAGGCTGGGAAGGGGGTTGAACAGGGTTTGGAAGCTTTCGGGGGTCTGTGAGACCCTGTGAGCCAGGGAGTGGGGCCTGAGGGGATGGAGGCAGCGATGCTGTGTGGTCCCCACACGTCCTCACGCCGCAGTGGAGCTGCAGGGCTCGTTGCGTGATCGGGGTGGTGAAGAGAAGGCAAAAACACCTTCTGTGGGGCTCTGGCCTTATCCTGCACAAGTCATTCCTTTAACCAGACGCTCACTGGCCATCCCAATGGCTTGGTCCAGCTTCCAGCTGGCGTCCACAGTAGGTTAGGTGGTAGCTGGGTAGGGGTTTGAGAGCTTCCCAAAGTGGAAAAAGGCAGAGAGCAAAACAGGCTGTAAAAATGCAGTTGGGAGCAGCTTACAGCTCTTTTACTTTTGCCTTCCAACATAGAAAGAGAATTGCTGTCCTCACCACCATCCTGGAAGGCCGAAGGGGAGGTGTCTGCGGTCAGGAAGTGGAAATAAAATTAAAAGGTTAAAAATACAACAAATGGGCGAATCGAGATTTTGGGGAGCTTTGAGGGTATATTGGATGCTGGCATGGGCAGATGACTGATAAGTGATGTGAAAGGCACCAGTACGAATCTGTGGCTTGTAGCAGCAAGAGCTAGGAGAAGACCGTAACATGGTACAGAAAAAAGCCAGACATTAAATAAATATTCCTGTTCCTTATTTAAAAACTCTCAGGATAACACAGCCAAATATTTCAGTGAGGGCGAAATACTTCCTACTCCTTCGGTAAAAAGGAGGCTGTGAGGGGAAACTTTTAAATATGCTTAAGTCATTAGGGCTGGGTAATAGGCTCTGATTTTACCAAAGGCTGTAAGTGCTGTCAAGTCGCACGGTTTTGTGGACAGCAAGTCTTGTCAAACAATCCCATTATCCTTTTTTAAAAGACACAAGTTTGGTTGATAGAGGGAACTATCGCCGTGATATATTGCCTTCTGCAGGCCTTATCTCCCTGTGATGCTGATTAAAAGCCAGTGAACAACACAGCAAGTCAGCATTGTCTGTTTTCATCCATTGTAAATGGATTAAAAACTCATTAACTGATAGACGACGGAGCACGCTGAACTAATTTTAATAGGGAATCGTCATCCTTCAGAAGTGTTTCCTTGGGGCTTTCCCCCCAGGGTCGCTCTGATTCTCTGTCATCTTCATTAATGATCTGGGGAAAAATATCCAACGACCGGTGGTAACCTTTGTGGGCGTGATCAGATTTGGTAGAAGGATCGATGGTGATTCTGTGGTGCGGCCTGGTGAGCCACGGGGATGTCCCGTCCGCGTGGCGAAGCGGCCTTGTTCCTGCAAAGCCCCCTTTTAAAGGCAGCCGAGCGTTTTGGTTAGGGAGCAGAAGGATGATGGTAAATAAACCGCTTTTCCAGCAGGGGAGGACGAGGCAGCGTGCCTCTCCGTGTCTGCAGCTGAGGCTGGACAAAGTCAGACTAGCAACGAGGAGCACACTGTTAATGAGGGGGCAATTGAATGCTCAGGGCGGCCTAACGAGAGACGCAGGGGCTTCTCTGGTAGCTGCAGGCTTTAAACCGAGACAGCTCTCTTTGCAGCTTGAGTTTTTTGGGTGAGGTTCCAGGGTAAGTCAAACAAGCTGAACCTCTTTTGTCCTTAAAATACACAAATCCGTAAAGGAGGCTTTGGAAACCAGCTCCTATAGGAAAATGCTGCCAAGCCGGGAGTGCAGAGAAAGTGTCGATAGCCAGGCAGTTGCCTTGATCCTGCTGGAAGGGAGATCATGCTTGGCAGTGGAAAACGAACATTTGCCTTCTGCTCCTTCCTCTCCACGGTGCGTCCTAACGCTTGCGCCCTCGCCAGGCGCCGGCCCTGGTCGTGAGGCCTTCTGAAAGGCTGTGCCTAGGGGTTTGCTGGGCCGGAGGGGCTGAGGGTGACTCGGAGGCGTGGTAAAGGCAGCACGTCTGGAACAATTTTGCTGAAGGGAAAAAAAGAAAATAATTCCGGAGTCAAACAGTGCAAGGCATGCCTAATGTGTTTGTGGAAAAGTCTTGAACGTGGACATGTCTCCTGAGCATCTCATGGTCTTCGAAAGAACAGCGTGTCCTGAAACAGCTAACTGGGTGCAGTTGCTGTGGCTTGTCGTGCGGTTAGGAATGGCCAGCTCGCTGTTCTCTCTCTTTTTTTAACCTTTCCTGATGTTTTATGGAAAAGAAAGAAGGAGGGGAAATATTTTCCCTCCCTCCACTAAATCTTTGTTCTAAACATAGCCGATTTTTAGGGAAATTCCAATGAAATGGATTCCACTTGCTGACCTGCTTATTCGTGTGCGTGAGAGGAAACCTGCCACCCCTGCCAGGCCCTCCTGGGCTTCGGTGTTCAGGGCTTCCCCCTCCAAACGGTGTATTCCTTACACAAGACATAGGCCCCTTGCACAGAGGAGACACTGGAGATAGGATTTCTTCTGAAAACATTTTTTTTTTTAAAGATTAAAAGTTGACTGTACTGGTATTTATTTATTTATTGCGTAGGAACTTTGAATGCCTCAATAAAGATTACAAAAGCCAGTGATTTCTTATTCACCCTCGTTATCCTGCATCTGCTTCTCATTAGAAGTCTGTCTGGAAGGCTGCCCGGTGAAAAAGGCTGAAAAAATGAGCCTGTAAAATTCCCATAGGGCAGAACGAAATGTGGCTGGAATTAGGGAGCTTGTTGCCTTTTGTCCCGGTTAGCAAAAAAGCTCTTTCTTGTTTTGCAGTTTGATGGATGCTACCATTGAAGCTAGGGAACCAAACTGCTGCCCAGTAAACCCGTACGGCAGTCTGGGGTTTGCTTTCCCCCCCCTGCCTCCCCCTTGTAGGACACGGCCACACGTGCAGCGAGTCTGTGCGGTCTCAGCGCCACGCTGGGGTGGCCCTGCACGAAGAGGGGGATTTCTACCAGCAAAGGCGTGAGATGCTGCTGGAGCCGGGCAGAGCCTCGGGGCCAGGTCGTGTCGTGGCCCGAGGGTGCTGGGGGGAGGTTCTGCCACCGCTGTGGGACCCGACGCCTGCCGCGAGTGGTGGCGGCGGGGAGGCAGGCCCCGAAATCCCTCGTGAACCCCCTTTTGACAGCGTTCAGCAGCGTTAGGCGGCTCCTGTAGCCAGCCCTGGTCCGAGGATGAGCAGAAAACAACAGAGCAACACCCTTGGAAGATGGGTTTTTCCGAGCTGACTCTGGAGCAGCTGGTAACGTTGACTCAGTGGGTGCTGTACGGCGCTGACCTCCTTGTGTTTCTGTCTCTCTTCTAGTCCCTTATATTCCTTGTTCGGGACTGGAGCTTCCCGTACGAATTTTCCTACGGATCCGATGGTGGTGCAAGGTTTTTGGAGAAGCGGCTGAAGGTGCGTTGTGTCCGATCTGGGTTCCTTCGGCCAGCAGCGCTGGGGGTGCGCCTGCGGGCGGTGGGGGGTGAAGGGGCACATCTGGCTTGTGACCCGGGGCGTGGGTGGAGGGTGCACGGGGCACGAGGGTGAGACCTCGGTGTGGGGGACAGTCGGCACTGGAGAGTGTAATCCTGGGCAGGGAGCAGGGAATGGGGTGCTGGGCACCGGCACCAGTGAGGGGTCAGCTGGGTGGCCGCAGCGCTGGCTGTCAGGTGTGAACTGCAGCGTAGATGCTGGTTATGGTCGCACTTACCCAGTGCCTTAAAACCAGAGAAGAGGCATTTTAGGAGGCTGACTTCCCTTGCCACGTACAGCAGAGGTGTACCAAGCCCAGTCTCCCTGGGGCTCTCTTGCTGGGAGCAGCTGGGAGAGGCGCTAGAGATGGGACTCAGCAGATTTCCCTCGAGATCAGGAGCGATGCTTTGGTAAAAGGTCGTGGCACAGTGAAACCGATGGGTGAGGGCTCCGCTGGGGTTAATCAGGAAATACGTGGGTGATTTGGTAATAGAGAGACCTAATTAAATGCGAGACAAGAAGGGCCCTAGTGGGAAATCCCAAATGTTTTTGTATTCCAGTCATACACGGACATGCACATTTTCCAAACAATAATAACATGCCCCAGGGCATGTGGTCAGAGCTCCACGAGTTCCCTTGGTCGCTGGAAGAGCCTTGTCTTTGTCCTCACGCAGCATATCCCTACGGGATGTCCTTCTGCGTTGCCTTTTCCCGCTGTCAGCAGCCACAGCGCGGGGTACCCCATGCTTCTGCCAGCACCGCTGGCCCAGTGTTACCAGTGTCCCCATCAGAAGGAAATCCCCTGACCCCCAAACTGGTCTCTCGCAGGTCTCGGGAAATCAGCACGAAGAGCTGCAGAACGTCAGAATTCCTGCTTCACCAAAATCTCCTGCTTCCTCTTACCTCACCCAGGCCTGAAAGTCGCCACCAACCCTAATTTCGATGGAAAACTGAAAGGTATGAAGGCAAAGGTCTGGTTTTGAAGCGGATACCGTAGATGCCCTGGCAGGCTGTCCCGCTGGTTCCTGAAACCCCTATTTTCCATGAAAAATCTGCGAGAGGAGCTGGATCCTCCTCTCAACAACGTACACACGCTCTGCTCGTTCTTCCGAGTCCTGCAGCTGCCTGTTCATTGCCAGATGCTTTCCCGTAGGACAGAGGTGTCCCCTCTGAGGCCAAAAAAGCCTCAGAGCCGCTGGCAATAAGCAGTGTCAGGCCAGATGGCTGATAGGCAGCCGGGGAAGGGCAGGGCTGAGGTAGGAAGTTTATGGACACGGTGTCAAGGCTGCAGTGAAGTCCTGTGCCTCAGTGCAGTTCAGCCCCGAGCGGGGCAGACTGGTCGCTGCAAGGCAGGCTGGTGCTTGTGGAGGGT